AAGCATATAGGTATGGTTTAATAAAAACCATCGATTCTGCTGCTAGGGAAATAAGCAAGCATCTGCCTTTCAATATATTTGGATATAGGTGGGGACTGTTTTTTGTTTTTTGTGTTTTTTTTTTTTCAGAATCATTGCTTTAATCAGGCCCAAGTTGGTCATGGTTCTTCATGACTCTGCTTACTTCAAAATATCATCCTATGTTGGAACCAAGGCAGCAGATCATTTACCTAATCCTGCTTGTCAAGCCTTGGGATCTATTCAGGTGCCAATTCATGCCCCAGCTGCTCCACTTTCCATCAGATCTCGGCTTATGACCTAGAAGAGCAGCAAATGATGGCCCAAAGCCTTGGAACTCTGCACCTGCATGGGAGACCGAGAAGAAGCTCCTCACTCTTGGCTCCTGGCTCCTGGCTCCTGGCTCCTGGTTTCAGATCAGTTCAGCTCTGATCATTGCAATCACTAGGCAGAGTAAACCAGCAGATGGAAGATTTATCTGTCTTTCTGTCATTAAATCTGCCTTCCCAATATAAATAAATAAATAAATGCATACATAAAATTTTTTGCTATTTTTGATTTATTTTTGACAATCTTTACATAATTAGGGTAAAAAGGTTCAAGGGCTACAAGAAAGTGGTTAAGGTTATTATTTCCACATTGTTTGTTTCCTTGATCTGGGGTAAAGGGGGAGATAAAAGGAGAAGCCCCACCTAGTCTCCTACCCATCCCAGGTCCCTAATGTAAGGCATGTTCCAAGGGTCTCGATCAAGTGGTTTTGATAGTTCAGCACTTATGAATTGCTGCTAATTAGCCATTCTAAGCACAATGAAGTTGCTTCAGAATCCACTGATTGACATAGTCCACCTTAGAGTCTCCGTTTGCCCAGTTTTTCACTGCCAATATATGCCTGGGGTAGTTGATTTGTTCTGTCCTCTGTTGTGATGCCAGGTATCCTCTGCAGGTTCTAATAGACTGTCATATCCTCCATGTGCAGCTGGTTATGCTCTTCGTTGCTCCATCTGAGCCTCTGAGGAGGCTCGGCTCTGGCACTTGCATTCCATGCTAGGATATGTGTTCTGAGTCGAGCAGTCCGATTGGGGAGATCCCAAAAGAAACTTTGTCTGAGGTGATCCCAGACCAGATTCTTGTCTGTACTTGCAAGTACAGGGCCCAGTACAGTTCATCACCCCAATCAGTTGGTGGTTGCAATTGCTGGATTGGTTCTGTTTCCAGACCTGTCTTCCACTGGAACCAATGGGTGTTGCAGTCCAGCCTGATTCTGCCCAGCACATACTCAGCCCTCACATAAACCAGTGGGAGCTGCAGCCTAGTTGGAGCGACCCACAATAACCCTCACCAGGCCTGCCCCCTGCCCTGGTTCCCATGCTTGCCAGTATTTGCAGCAGACTAGTCCAGTCTGTCCCACATCCCATTCAGCCCTCATACATGTCTATGCACATTGAAGCCTAGTTCAACCCAACCAACCCCACTATCCAGCCCACACACATGCTGTTGGTTGCCTTTCTGTCTAGCCACTCCTGGCCCTGCCCTGGTTTTCATGCTCTCCAATGGGAGTGGTAACACAAGAGGGAAGAGCTCATTATTTTCCTTCTAGGCCACTCCCACTTCTGGATTATGCACTCTCCAGGTGGTTCTGAATTTAGCTTGTTAGAATTTGCCCCCAGTCACAGCATCTGCCAACAGATGCTGCGGCAAAGTGCAATCAACCCTCACCCACTCTAATTTTTGCTTGCACCAGTCGGAAGAATCATCCCAGTCTGGCTTTTCCCTGACCTAGTTCACATGAGGCCCACAGGTGTTATAGCCCTGCCTGGCCTGGTTTGCCCCCATCGCAACCCACACTCTCCAGTGGAAGTCGCCGTCCAGCAGGGGAGCCTTCCATATTGCCCCTGCCGGCTGTGCCCCCTCCCTCCCTGGTTCTCATGTGTGCTGTTGGACGCTGTCACCACATCTGGTACGGGTCACCTCACCTTGGCATGTCATAATGTGCACTTGTTTTTGTCGTGACCAAACCTGGCTCGACCCACACTCTGTTCTGGTGCTCAGATTCGCCAGTGGGTGATGTGAACTGGTTCAGCCTGGTCTGCCCCCGACCTATGCCAAATGTATGCCAGTGGGTACCTTTCCATGGCCTGCTCTGGGCTGTTTCCTATCATACTTTTTGTGCTTACCTGCAGGGACTGTGTCCTGCCACAGGAGTTGCCCAGGCTCCTCCATCAGAACCTCTCCCAATGCCAGATTTTGCGCATACCAGTGGGTCCATGAGCCAGCCCTACTCAGTTCACCTCCTGTCCTGGTAGGAACAGTGGCCTTTCTTGACTGGCCTTCAACCCAATCTGGTTCTTACTGTTAGATGTTTCAGCCCAGCCAAGACTTGTCCGTACCCACACACAGCTTACACAGGGCTCAGTAGGGGATGAGACCTAGCCTAGTCCATCCCACATCTACCCTGGTTCTCCAGAGCACCAGATGGTGTTGGAGTCTAGGCCGGCTTTGTGCAGCCAGTCCCAGACCACACTTGTGCCAAGGGAGACTAACAAACAAATCTTTAAGAAATCTATCATCCTACATCAGTGGATTCTCCCAAAAGGACACCAGGAGACAGGCATTTCTCAACTTCCATACCATTTCTCTCACAGAGGTCACCAACTGAAGATACTGCGCTACAAGCAACCTCAAATATTCATGGTAGGACTTGGATATTTTTTGTCTTTAGGTCTTTAAAACTTAATTAGCTGAGAATATTTTAAAGGGAATTTTAGCTATGACTGTCATATTTCTTGAAAATTATGATAAGATCATTAATAATGAATAACGAATCTCAATCCCCACAGATCCCAATTAGCTAGGTAGCAGGTTATTCCATGAGCAAGAGGCACCCATACTATCCCCCGCACTCCCAGCCATCCCCATAGACTGCAGAGTGAAGTCCAGTTGCCATTCACCATTCTCCTTACACAGTAGTTTGTCTTTACCCTTACTTCCTTCAAATTAGTTTGCCAGAATGGTTCCTGGAGGCAGTTACAAACTCTTGTCCATTATCGTTGAAGCAATAATGGCTAAATTTTCCACCATGTTGAAATTTACCAGTTAAAATGTGTAAACTCATTTAATCTTCAATTTAATCCATACAGGGAACATTACTGGCACTCCTGTTTTACAGATTAGGAAATCAATAAGTTGGGAACTTAGCAAAGGTAACACCCATTTCCTATGCGGTGGCACTTGACTCACAGGCAGGCCCTCATTTTACTTCACATATAGAGGAAGTCTCCTTAGAACCACATTGGCAGGTCCCAGCGCAACAGCTTAGTGGCTAAATTCCTTGCCTTGTAAGCCCATATGGGTGCTGTTTCATGTCCCAGAAGTCTCATTTCCCATCCATGCTTGTGGCCTGTGAAAGCAGTGCAGGATGGCCCAAAGCCTTGGGACACTGCACCTGCATGGAGACCTGGAAGAAGCTCCTGGCTTCTGGCTTTGGATTAGAGCTCAGATCTGGCTGTTGCAGCAACTTGGGGAGTGAATCAGTGGACAGAAGATCTTCCTCTCTGTCTCTTCTCCTCTCTATATATCTGCCTTTCCAAGAAAAAAAAATATATATATATGTATATATATAAAGAGAGTGAGAGAAAGAATTGCATTGGCAATAGCCTTCGAGCACTGCTCATCCCCTTTGGAAGTGTGTGTCCAATGGGCACTACACTCTTCTTTGAAGCACACAGGCAGCAAAAGTTCAGGCTGCTGTTGGAGGCTGGCTATCTTAATTACACAAGCTATCCTTTCTCTACAATGGTGCTACCTTCTTCCAGGCAGGGATCCTCACAATATGACTGTGAGGGTTTTGCATCTGAAGGTACTTCAAGGCCTGGGCTCTGGGTAGCTGCACAGCCATAAGCAATGACCCCCGCCATAAACAATGCCATGTTTACCATAGGACTTATTTTGGTGATAGGAAGGATGTGCAATTAACAAAACCCACCATAAACATGAAAATCAATGGAGCATTGAAGTAATTCTAAGCAGAGACCATCAACTTGGACTTTTCATTACCCAACAAAATCTTCATTGCCTGATTACAACTGGAAAAACTGACAGTGTTAATCTTAAACATTTGTATTTCCAAATTCTAGATGGTTTAACATGTTTGCCTTTTCCCAAGAAAGGATGTGAACCACAAAAAGCCGCCTTGTCTTCTATGAACATGAAGCCCTCCACCCACACTGTGTCATGGCAAGAACCCCTGAAATCTGTGTGATCTCTCAGCATTTTTCGTTTTCTTCTCTTGTGAGATAAAGCTTGAAAAATATAATAAGGATTTTCCTTCCCATCTAATAACAATCTCATAGATTGTATTTAATTTAATCTAAATATTCATTAGTTGGCACAGGTTCACTATCCCTTTGACTACAGAGAGGTTGTAGGATGGGATTCAGATCTGATGCTTCTTAAATTTGGGCTATTCAACCATAACAACCAAGGACACCAATCCATCCAAGTAGTTACATAATGTTTTTAAGCACTCAGGTTGTCACACAATCATTTGCCAGTCAGCTTGCTTTGAGTCCATCCTAGGTGAAACATGCTAACAATAACCCAACAATTCAATAGTGATAATCAACTGGAACCACACTCTGAAATTAAAATCATCCTTTCCAAACGAGAAAGAGATGTGTTCACTCAGTTGAATCCCAAAGATCTGGGAGGAAAGAATGCAAAGGAACTTACACAGAAAGGTGAGAATTCTCAATGAAAAGTTCTGGAAGATGTTGGGAAAGAGAGCTGCATGCTGAGTAAGCACGACTACCTATCATTGCTCACACCTTCTAATAGACCCTTGAAGTTGTTTGAGAAATTAAAAATCTCTTGCAAATATGCAGGCAGAGGCAACATCAGGAATCCTACACCTAAGGGATATTCAGCTCCGACAGAAGACCTGGAGAGCTTCTGAATGGGGCTTAGAGAAGTCTGTGTGAACTTACAGGACTGTGGTCGGCTGTGGTGCCTGAGGAACGTGGTCCAGCATCAAGTACATGCAGCCAACGGTGCTCTTAAGGCACAGGCACTGGCTGGGGCAGGGCAACCCCTGCAGGAAGCAGACCGCCAGGAGACAGCAGGCGGCGAAGCAGAGTAGTCTGAGCTCCATGACTCCATCCGCTGCGCTGCGTGCAAGGGAGCAGTGGTGGCAGCTGCAGTAGCCCAGCGTAGCAAGCCCAGCGGTGGTGGTCACTGCTGGCTAGCTAAGTTAAGCAGTGGCTGAAAGCGGCTGCTAGAAAAGAGGCATCCCCTGGCCAATCCAGGCGGAGGGAGATCACATTACAGGGCGGAGGGCAAAGGAGGCAGGACTACCAGGAAGGGAAGTTTGGCAGAGCAAAAGCCTCTTTAGGCAGCATCGTGCAAATAAACACACAGGCTCTTCTAAAGTTGTTTTCACGGCACAGTTCGTGTAAGCTGCAGCCGCTTAGCCCCTAGCTGTCTTTCTGAAGCTCCAGTTGATTAATTATGTATTGAATTACTGCAGAACAGCTTTATGCAGCCGCTGCGCACCGGTTTTGCTGTGTCATCTCTACAATAAAGGTTCCACAAAGACAACGAGTGTCTGGGTTTGACTTGCTGGCCAAGGGACCCCGACATCTGGTGCCGTGACTCGGATAGGTAAGTGTAACTACAGGTAAGTCGTAGCTGTGGATAAGAGACTCGGAGCCGCAGAAGCGGAGAGCGCAAAACGGACTGAGCAGAGACTCAGGGAGCCGCAGAAGCGGGGAGTGTGAAACGGAGCTGAGCAGAGACTCAGGGAGCCGCAGAAGCGGGGAGTGTGAAATGGAGCTGAGCAGAGACTCAGGGAGCCGCAGAAGCGGGGAGTGTGAAATGGAACTGAGCAGAGACTCAGGGAGCCGCAGAAGCGGGGAGTTTGAAACAGAGCTGAGCAGAGACTCAGGGAGCCGCCTTGAGCGGGGAATGTAAAACGGAACTGAGCAGAGACTCAGGGAGCCGCCTTGAGCGGGAAGCGTGCGCTAGGTTCGCGGGATAGCGACAAGAGTAAGCTCACCGGAAGTGGTGACAATATGGGGAATTCAACTTCAGTACACATGCAGAGTTACTGCAGAAGCTACTGAAGAAGAATGGAATGCCGGTACAGGTGCAGAAAGTACTTTCATTTTGTCAATCTTGTGCTCCTTTTCTTTCTCAACCTTATATTTGTGTGAATCCGCGAGGTTTGTTACCAAATCATGTGTGGCAGATAAATGATATGGAAGGATGTGTTAACTAAACAGTGGAAAGGCCCGCATCCGGTGTTGAGGCGGATGCGAGGTGCAGTGTGTTTTTCCGCAGGATTCCGAAGTTCCTGTGTAGATACCAGAGCGCCTAACAAGAGTGGTGAGAGCCTCCATGCCAGAAAACATCCAAGATGAAGCCCTGGACGCTCGGGCCGGTGATCCTGCTGGTAACACTGCTGCCTCCCGGAACACTGAGCCAACAGCTTCAACTATGGGCGATCGTGAAGGCATGGCCAGTGCCATTACTGGTGACCAATAGTTCATCAATGTTGCCCCCAATCTTCAACACTGATGCGAGTATTGGACTACTGGTGGTGCCCCTGGACAACACCACAGTGCCATCCACAAACCGGACAATTCAATTGCACGGACTGGCTTGCTTTCAAAGCCGGCCATTGGCAAATGGGACCAGACCTTGCATCCTATTGGCGAACCAGACCATTGGACGATTTCAGAGGAACAGCTCAGGAGGATGGGCACATCTCCTGATGGGTCAGGTACCCTGCTTTTTTGCCCGCGCTCACAATGCGGGAACCATTCTGTGACTGGGAGTTTGTCAGCTCCTCCCTCGTTGTATGGACCAATGGTCATGGCCGCCAGACTGGACTGGCTGCCAGAGCACTGTCACCCTTGTAGGGTGGCTCCTGGCCTGAACTTGTCCAATCTGTTTCTGACTTATACCAATGACACCTTCCTGGGATACAATTTTTCTTATGAGGACTCAGTACAATCAGTGACATCCAGACCTTGGAATGCTTGGATTTTATGTACCATTTATCATATCCAATGTCTGTTCAGTTTGATAATTTGCCGAATTGTGGACACAAACTCTTACCATTAATGCTACCAAGGTGGAAATTGCTTTTGTGGAACCATGGACTAATCGGTTGTTAAAGGTTCTATCCTTTGCTAAGCAGTGGGCTGGAATGATTGGTGTATGCATGCTTGTGATGATCTGAGAGCCTGGGCCATTCGCACTCTATGCAGACGCATTCAGCAACAGCAGCAGCAACAGGCGCTGTTAGTGAAGGTTGTCATGGCCTTGACTAGACAAGAATCCCCTGAGGTATGGTTTAACATGATGGACTGGTAGTCAAAGACGGGTAAGTATCCGGTAAGGCTCTACCTACCTAAGCCAGGCGCCACGAGCCAGGTGGTTAGCTGATGACGGGTAAGGAGAGCCTACTCCGGAACACCTAAGACAGGCACAGTCCGTGATTAATAAAACAAAAAGGGGGAGCTGTGGGGAGCTGTAGAGAGCCTACAGCCCAGCTTTTATTTGTTTGTTTGTTCGTTTTATCTGATAACAGTACCAGATCCTAAAGGGTAGGCAGAGTTCTCATTGGTCGATCTAGGCACACATATTCTATCTTGACTCCAAACTCTGCTTGCCAATCAGGGCTTCATTTCCTTCTCTGAGCTCTACTCATGTCTAATAACAGCTACTTCTGACGCCTTTCTTTAATCTTTTACATTTAAAATTACATGCCTGAAATCACAAATTTACATTTACAAGGAGGCAACCTGAATCACTGTGACAGAACTCCTACAAAGTTCATGGGAAATCCCTACCTTGAGAAAAACTATCAGGGCATCAAATAATTCTGGCATCAAAATAAACCAATCTTTGAATTCCACTTTTCAAGAACTTCTTCAGGTACCTTGTCTGCAAGCAAGAACCAGGTCCCTGATGACCTGAGAGTACAACTTCTCAGCAGCAGTTCAGAGCAGCCATGGTCCACCCAGGTGGGTTGCCCCTCTCTGGGGGTGTATGTACAAACTCTCAGACTTCAATGAATGCCCCGTGAGCTTAAAACTCTTTTTTTCCTCTCATTCTGTTATCACATATTCTTAAGAAAAACCTTTGCTATTAAAAACTTTTTTCAAATACAGCTTTTATTATTAAAATACTGAAAAACAATTAAAACTTGGTTTATCAATCTCAGATGACCCTACCAGGAGAACCATCTAACTAGTGGAGAGATAACTTTGTCAAATTCTATCAACCTTACAAGGAAAAATAAACCCATGCTTCTCTCTGCAGTATATATATTTTTAAAGTCCCTTTACATTCTACTGTAGGTGAATACTGCCATCTTTTGGCAAAATGGTCACATTTAAGTAATGTGATGAGGAAGGAGGACTAAAATTTTCATTTTATTTATTTTATTTATTTGAAAGGCAGAGTTACAGGGGAAGAGAGAAAGAGATTTCCCATTAGCTGATTCACTCCCCAATTGGCTGCAACACCCAGGCCTTGGCCAGGCCAAAGCCAGGAGCTTCATGTAAGATTCCCACGTGGGTGCAGTGGCTCAAAGAATTGGGACATCTTCCATTGCTTTTCTAGCTGCATTGGAAGACAGCTGGACCGCAAGTGGAACAGTATTCAGTAAGGATGTTCAGTATGACCCTCTCCCTTTCTCTTCCCCCTTCCCGCAGATACAGGAAGGAAAAAAAAGTTGGAAACAATCGGTTCATCCACTTTCCCCTAATCCCTAATCAGTGGTCCACATGGGCATGCATCCTTCTCAACTATGAAAAGTCATCAAAACTAAAATAAAGAAACTGCAGCAGCCAGGATGGAACTGATGGCAATTTGGGGTATCAGCATTATAAGTGGCAATTTAACCTAATTTTTTTCTTTAAATAAATTAACCCTGAATAAGATTTACTTTAAAGCAAGATTTTATGCATGCTTGATATTGTTCAGACATCTTAGGTTATCAATGCAACAAGAACACACATTTCTTCTGATGGAGACTCCCACTCCTACGATTCTGTGTGGGTGTCTGTGACACAAAAGATGAAGATGAATGAAGATGAGACCCATAGACCCATAGAGCTGTCTTCTTTTACAGCTTAAAAGGTTAAAAAAAAAAAAAAAGCATTTGTAAAACACTTTCCTAGAAGTGCAAAATTACTTATCTCAGAACCTCAGAAATCTCTGCCACTGAATGAAAAACAAATCCATCAATTACTGACTGGGAGTACAAAACCAACAACCTCAAGGCAGACAAAAACACCTGTGACACACCCAGGAGTGGCTGTGGGTCTCCTCAGAGACTGACTCGGGACAACCCATCAACTGGAATCAATGCCATGCACTGGACGCCACACAATGCTTTATTTGAATATGTCAGTGAAGAAAGTTACAAGATGGACACAAGAGTTCAAGCCAGAAGGGAAGCTAATGCGGACGGCTGGCGCAGCCTCAGCTGCTGCTCGACCAAGCAACATTAACTAGAGGCATTAGAGTCACAGGGACAGGAAGAAGGGGCCCTGCCACCATGTCAGAGACCAAGGGTCCTGGCTTCAGGTTGGCCCAGCCCAAGCTGTTACAGGCAAGTGGGAAGTAAATCAACGTATCTTGTGTGTGTGTGAGGTTTCATGTACCTATCTGCTGCCATGCTTTCAAAAACAAACAAAACTTTTAAAAAGCAGAGCAAAATGGAATACAACACTGAAAAAGCATGAGACATGCATAAATAAACCTAACAAAAGACACCAGACTTGATAGCCAAATTATTTACTACTAAGGGTTAAATAAGAGAAGTACCATATTCACAAACTGGAAGACTCCATGATATAAACCTATTGCCTCTTTTATACAAATTATATAAGTTTTAGAAGTCAAGGGAATAGTAAAGAATACTCCTGAAATGTAAGCTGAAGAGACATTTTACCAGATCAAGAATATTACAAATCTACAGTAAATCAAACTGTAATATTAGCACAGGCACACACAAATGGAAAATTTAGACACACAGCATAAATATGAAGTTTATGACAAAGCCAGCACTGCAAATCAAAGAAGGAAAAAAAAATGACTATTCCAAAAAAAAAAAAAATCATTCTTATCAACAAAGTAAAAAAAGTAAGATGCTGGGGTACAAGTGTTTGGTGCTGCAGTTAAGACGTAATTTTGGACACATACATCCCATATCAAAGTCTCTATATTTAAGTTCTGGCTCAACTTGGAAGTTCAATTTCCCACTAACATATCCCTTGGGAAGCCACAGGCAATGGCCCAACTGTTTTGGCCCAGGCACTTAAGGAGAACTGGACTTAATTGTAAGCTCCTGGCTTCAGTTTGAGCCACTCAAACCACCACTTGTAAAGCTGGCATCCCAAGCATTCCTTATCAGCGCATTGGTGGAAGTCTCAGCTGCTCTATTTCTCCTATCCAGCTTCCTAGTAACACAGAAGGGCTCCTGCATCCCACCAAAGACCTGAGGGAGTTCATCGCTTTGGTTTGGGCCTGGGTCAGGTCCAACCATTTGGCCAATGGGGAGTGAACCAGCATATGGAAGACATGATATTTCTCTCTATATAATTTTATTTACAAAAATAAATGTTTTTTTTTTTTAATTTATAAAACTGGGCTTTATTAGGGTCTGCTCCCAGGCGAAATTCACTACTCTGCAAAGGAGTGGACCGCTGAAGTCGTGTACAGAAATAAATCTTTTAAAAATTAATAAACCAAGCACCACGAATGTAACAAAGCTATCATATTTAACATGGATGTTAGGAAGGTGATACAGAATGAGCAAGCTGCAGCACACACAGCTCAGTGTGACTCTAGTACAAATGTAATCCAGTAATACAGGGTTTATAAATACAAAATGATGTGTAGCAAAGGCAAAAGGAAGTCACAGTCATACACAAGGCAGACCCATAAAGGAGATGAGAAGGGAGGCTGGGAAGGGGTTCATGTATGGGGGCAATGCTAGTAGTTGAACCGAAAAGCAGGTACAAACATGTCTACCTACATGCACACTGGTTCACTATTTCTTTTACTTTAAAAGACCCTATTCTTCAGAGGTGTCAACAGTCAAAAGAAAATTAGATGCCCAAACGAAAGTAACTGAATAGCCTGGATCAGCATATACCCCCTAAGTGCATGCAAACTGTTTAACATTAAAAAGAGAAAAAGACAAGACAGGCCATTGAAGAGTGATGATTATATGCAACTGTTTATTTAAAATATTTTTCCATGTCTTCCAAGGATTTCACATGCTTGACTTGACTTTCATCATCTCACACAGCTAGAAATCAACACAACATTCTTGTATGTTACTTTAACCATTATGCATGTATGCTATCTTAATCATATTTTTAATATTAGAACCAAATAGTTTGATCAACAAGCTGTAGAGATGTACAGACTTCTTGGTAGGTATGATGTCACTGACAACTGTTGGCATTTACCTGATGCTACTTCAAGCCCCCTAACTAGCTGTGTGACTAAGGCAAAATATGCCACCCCTCCACACCCATTTCCGCATATGCAAACAAAGGCTTAGATATTAACTATTTTCTAATCTGACTGTAATAGTTCATGACTATATTGTCATTTCTATTTTAACTTTTTCCTTATTTGATCTTCTCCACTTACAAAAACTTTCTAAACTCCTCATAAACATGAATTCAGTAAAAATAACACAATCCCAAAATACTCTTCTTCTAATATATCTACATTAGTATATAACAAGTCTTTCACATGTGGTCTCATTTTTTATTTCTACTTCTTTATTTGAATTCAATGATAACATCACTACTGTAAAATGAATGCACTTAAAAACAGAAAAGATAAATTTCAATGACAAAAAAGTATTCAATGATCATGAAAAAATCTACTGTACACTTTACCAAGATCAAGAGAATGAAAGACAATATGAAAGTCAATCTTCAAATACATGCTCAACAAAAACTCTTTCCTAAATAGTGAAGCCATCATTTAAGAACATGTGCTTGTACATATCTGGACAACAGCTCAAATAAAATTGGGGTGATGAGGGATAAGAAAAGATGGGAAGTCTCCCCAAGCTTTCTAGATACAAACAGGTGAACAGGAGAGATCTATGGCTACACTTCTAAAACAGACATATAGCTCAAAATACAATAAACATTTCTGACAGATGACAACAACATGAAACCGTTTCCAGCTGGAAACACGATGGGACTTTAACATACCCTTGATAATCATCTGAATGAAATGTAATGCTATCCCCACTTCTACTTCCCATCGCCAGAAGTAGTACATTCCCTGAAACTCTTCTATATCGTGAAAACATCCTCCGTTATCTGGGGCAATGACATGCTTATATTATTTCAAACACTTGTTTCTAGATGTGTAGAGATTACTGGAGCTGAGATTTTTGCAACAATATTTGAAACATAATGGTGAAATAAAACCTCATTGACTATGCAATGACTGGGTTTGCTTAGGCAAATCTGAGTAACTATCATAATAATGATACTTGTGATAATAAGCAATATCCTCAAGTTTTCCCTTTAAAAATACATACTGTATGTATCAGGAAGAGGCATGTTACAGAAAATACTATCTTAGCAGGCCTTACTAGAGAAACAAAGTTATAATAAGATTTCTTGTTACCTGCTAGGTAAATTTCATATTAAGCCAAAAAAAAAAAAAAAGTAAAAGAAAACCATTATAATTCTACCAAAAAAAAAAAAAAAAAACCAAAAAACATTAAAAAGTGAGTTGTCAGATGAACTTGGTGTAGGTCCCAAAGTTTACACTGTGATTCTGAACTGGATTTTTCAAAACAAATGGTGTCTACATACGATTTATGTGAATATTTATCTTACTAGAAAGATCCAAAGTGTATGTAGTAAGCTCAGCCCTCCTTGTCAGAGATAAATATTCAGATAAACTGGAAATCTCACTTACTAAAGTGCATCTGCTGCCCAGGCCTGCTCAAGCCCTGCAACTCGAACTGTCCAGGAAAGTGGCAGCCACATGTGCTTACTCACTCACTCGCTATCAAGAGCCTATGCTATCAAGAGTCACACACAACACTGGAGCTTTTACACTGAACACTTTATATAGTCAACTACAGGAAAACAATCCTAAACAGACGTTGAAAACTTTGAGAGTCAAAATGACCTCATTAATTTTAAATACTGAAAATGTAAAGGGTCCATATTAACTAAGAATTGTATTAAGTGTATACTTTCTAATTAGTTTCTATTTGCTGTGCTCTTAGAAATCTCTATGAGAGAAGCAGATATTCCCCTACACATAAACACCCTGCCAAGGTCTTCTGGCAACAGGTTCTAAAGCAAAAGTTGCAGGGCTGTTGAATTCCATGAATTTTTTTTTAAAGCTAAATACTTGATATGTTGCATTATTATTATTGCACTCATGTATTGCCCGGAATATATCTACAGCAACTCAGAAATAGTGATTGCAAAAAAGTAAGGTAAATAGATCTACAAAGCCTTTGATTTCCTTACTAGATAAGAAAGTTTTCACAGAGGAAATGCAAATAACTGCAATTCAAATCAGTTTTATATGCTTAACAATGACTTATACTTCATATAAAATTACACCCAGCCTTCACCACCATAAATCTGTAAGGAGTCAGAAAAGGATGTATAGGACACAAGGTCTTGGCTATGGTTGCATTCCACTTTCAAATCACTCTCAGATAAAACAGCAATTTCCCCAAGATTTAAAGAAAAATAGATTTTATAAAAGGGATTCTTCTTAATTACTGGATACATAATTTTTGTTAATGACAGAAACAAGTTATACTTTTGTTTTCCACTGTAATTTACTCTGATGAAAGAAATAATTCTAACTCCTAACAAATGCTACATGTTCAAGACTAAAGGAATTATCAGCAGGTATTCTTTCTCCTTGAACTAAGTTACTTGTCTCTAAAATATGTCAAGTAAGCTTTTAATGACTCAGGGAGGGGTAGTTTCATGATTTTCTCTCTCAGTAAGTTCTGAGGCGGCTCTTCTGGCTTAATGGCTTCACTGTGGTCTTTGTCCTCCTCCTCTTTGTGGTCTTCCTCCATCTTCTCATCCTCCTCACTGTCTAGAGGCTGAGGGATAAGCTGATTACCCACGAAGACGTACGTGTTAATTCTCTGTTTCACTCTCTTTCTTTTCCTTTTGGGTGGGGCCCTTTGAGGAATTCCCTTGGCCTGCATCTCATCATTTATGAAATTTCTAAGTGTACGTCGAATGTAAATACGGGCCAAGTCCTGCAGGTTCCTGACAGCACAGGGGGCTGAAAACACAAACACACACACATGAAAAACATAAATAAAGCATTATATATGTTCATTTCTTCTCAGAAGAAAACATTTCTTAGCAAGTTATGGACATGGCCAGTACAAAACCTCTTGATTTTCATCTGACAAACATCGCAGGCAACCTAGATCTGCCCGATTGGCATTCCAGTGCCTGGAGGTGTGTGCTTTGCCACACAAATACACATAAACAAATGTTCAGGAATGACAAATAAAAATATGGAAACAGGATGTTTGGAATCAAATAACCAAAGGAAAGAACAGGCAAGACTACCCTGCATAATCCTTTATATGTTTTAATTTTTTAAATCTTTTATTCATCATCATCATCATCATTTTATGATACAGTTTCATAGGCCCTGGGATTTCTCTTATCCCCTTCCCAACTCCCCCCACATAGATCCCCTATATCATTGCTATAGTTCTTCATACACAGTCATATGTCTATTACTGTGAGTTTGCATAATGGAAGAGAGTCCAGCATCCTATTGTCATAAACAGTTTCTTTGGGAGCCCATCTTTAGTCTGGAAGTAGAGATGCATACTGCATTGTATCCTCACATCTGGATATGTTAGCCTCCATTTCACAGTTACTATACATCCCCTTAAATTAAAAATCAGCAACAGGAAGAAAAGAGAAATTAACAACACTATGAAGTTAAATAATATGCTACCTAATGACTAATGTGTTGCTGAGGAAATGAAAAAGAAAATCAAGAACCTTCAGGAAGAAAATGATGCTACTGTATGATCTATGAGTCACTGAAGAATTTAATCAGAAGAAAGTGTTTTGAAGAGATGAAACTAACAACAAAAAAATCAAAATTCATGATATAGTTTCCACTGATTTTTGTTGGTGAAATGTGCCTCCTGTAGGCAACAGATGGGTTTTGTTTTTTAATCCAGTCTACTGATCTATGACATTTAATGGACAAGCTTAAGCCATGTACATTCAGGGTTAATACAAATAGGTAGTAATTTGGCCCTGTCATTTTGGGTTGTTCAGTGATTTAGTCTTCTGTTGTCATTTTACTGGGATGTTCTTCAATGTTTAAGTAACCAAAGATCTTTCCAGTTATTCAAAAATCTCAAAGGAACAGGTGTCACAGTTTGAACACTGAAATGAGCTATCACATGTACTCACACGCTCTAACACACACACACACACACACACACACACACACACAGAAGGAGGGTAAGGGAGAGAAAGGAAGGGAGGGAGACAGGCAGAGAGAGATGTATTCAGGAAGTAGCATTTCTGCCTTCGGTAAAGCAACATGTGAGATCTGTTTCATGGCAAAAGGTTATCAGAAATCAAGCCATGAAAAACACCAGAGCAGCTCAAAGAAACACCATAAATTTTTTAGTTACCGTTGACAACTTATATGAAATGCATCAGAGAGCTGAAACACATCTCTCCTATCTTTGACCATTCATTGTTACACACTCATAACTCCTAGAATCGCATTCTTCCCTGGAGTTACTCCCACACATCATACAGGGCAAAATTCTCTATCTCTCACTGGGGGGAAGATAATATCCTAGTTTCCAAAACCATTACCAAGAAGTTTCCTAATAAATATCTTAAAATAAACAAAACTCTTCTCACTTGGGCAGTACTATCAGTCTTCATTGCTCTTCACAATTTCCCTCTACGATTTGAGTGTGATGTCACCACTGCCTTTTTGTGAGGAGCCTATCTTTGCCTTTCGACTGTGAACTCCAGTAGCAAGGAAGTCATGTTTGCTCTTAGTACTCTCCACAGGACCCTGGCAGCGCCAAGCTGTGCCCAGGGACACAGACTGCATGACATCCTGTGCTCTGTCCTCCAAGCGCAGCTGTGACCCATACCCAGTCACCTGCCAGACACACTGCTCAGTAGCAGATAGTGCTTCCTAGAACCTTATAGTAGAGTGCTCTCGAAAGACTCATTTAAGTTCCATTCAGAGATTTCTTAGCATAGACCTCCTGGCCCACCATAAACGTATCTTCTTGGGACTAGTGCTATAGTTTAGCACATAGAGCCACCACTGTGAAGTTTTTGGAAGACAGGCAGAGAAGGTGGTATTTTACATATTTGCTCACAAGAACTCACATCTGCTGTTAGTCATGCACATTCAGAAAACTGCAACTGAGCAGGCCCATTGTTACTGCTTACAATCTGTCAAAGTGTGGTAGTGAAAAATGCTTGTAGGAGAGTTGTGTGTGTGTGTGTGTGTGTGTGTGTGTGTGTTTGGAAGAGTTATTTATTTGAAGAGCAGAGTTACACACAGAGAAAGAGAAAGAACCAGAGAGTGGGACAGAAAGATTTTAAAAGCCAGGAACCTCTAACTCCACCCAGGTGTCCCATTGGGTCACAGAGGCCAAAGCACTTGGGCCACATTATGCTGCTTTCCCAGGAGCATTAGCAGGGAGCTGGATGGAAAGTGGAACAGCCAGGGCTTGAACTGATACCCAAATGGAATTTCTGCATAGCAAATAGTGGTTTAAGCTGCTATGCACCAACACCGGCCCCAATAGTTCTACAATTTATGATGTCTCCCTTGTTTATGAACCTTAGACAATGTATCCTTATTTTCAGAATTTCTTATATACAGCAAAAACACAGAAAAAGTACCTTTCAACCTGATTCAAATTAATGATTAATCAGAAAAAATTTTAACTCCATTTCAATGGGCTGTTTAATGAGAAATTTTATTTCTATAAGATATATTTGGCAAAGAATGTATGTATGTATTATTACAAGGGGTTTTTTTTGGAATAAGCATTCTTTTCTATTTTAATTCCCTATAATTAAGAGAATGTCTTCTGAAAAGAAATCTGGTTTGACTTTTTTTAAGAGAAAAGGAAACCTGTTTTTATCCTCCAAATATCTTATACAATCTAGGCAAATAACAATTTTTAAACCTTTTCTTTCACTGTGTGAACATTACAATACAAAGCTCTTATCTTTTGGAAACTCATAATTCCTGGCTTGTATTCATAAATCAGTGGTGGTAAATGATGACTTCTTTTTATTGTAGAACCTTCAAGTTCATACAAAAATAGAGTTGATGGTATATTGAATGCCCATATACCTGACACATAGCTCCCACTATCACCCCTCATGTTTAGTCCTATTTCGTCCTCACCCGAACCTCTTCTCATGCCAACCCTGGATTACCCAAATGACATAATAACATTTCATACAATGTCAGGATACACTTAAATGGTGGAATGATGGATTTATGACTGTGAAGGATGATGCATTGAAATTATAGAGGGCAAGTCAGTGCGGGACACAGAACTGGGGTAAGACTGGGGAAGGAAAACCCAGAGCCTATGGAACTGTATCACAACATAAATAAATAAATAAATAAATAAATAAATAAATAAATAAATAAATAAATACTTCTCACTTTATCTGTAGATTTGTCAAATACGAATAATTTCTTTTATGTTACACTCCTCAATCTTCATTTTATCCTGTTCTACTAAGCTGGCTTTTATTTTCCATACATTTATACAACGTCATTCAAACCATACCAGTGACAGTCTGAGTAATTACTTAGATCTATTTATGTTAACATCGTTAAAATGAGAGAGAATGGAAATTTCTCTTTCATAGCATATGAACCACTGCATCCATTAATTACAGTGATATGAAATCTTATTTACAATGGAGACTCTTCTAAAGGGAACTCAACCAAGAAAAAGAGTTAGAATCCTACTCTACTAATAGAATTCTGTATGTTACAGTTAAAAACAAAGAAAGACAGTTGTTTAAATATCTCTAAGAATGCATTATAAACACACATTTGATGTTTATGGTTAGGCCATTATCAAAGCCAACTGGTTCAGAAAGCTTTTTCATTACTTTTTTATTATTTCTATCCAAGTAGTATAATTTATACAAAATTGCCATCAGTTATAATTCTAAAATAATTTTATCTTTTGGCTCTTTTATTGTAAAAATTTCACATTTATTTACTTAACTTTATGTATTTGCTTATTTAATTTGAAAGGCAGATTAACAGAGAGATGGGCATAGACACAGAGAGATAAAGAGAAATCTTCTTCCTGTTGGTTCACACTCCAAATGACTACAACAGTTAAGTCCGGGCAAAGTTAAAACCAGCAGTTAGGAAATCCATTCTAGTCTACCACAGGTGTGGCAGGGCCACCTTCCACTGTCTTCTCAGGCAGCTGGATCAGATGTGGACAAGCCAGGATCCAAAGCAGTACTCTAATGTGGGAAAAGTCAGTGCCTCAATATGGAAAATGCTGCCACTGACTGTTGGCTCGGTCATTCTTCCTAGCAGTCTAGCCATAACTCAGATGCAGCCACAGCAGAAAAGCTGTGACCCACAAGATGACCTGTCCCCAAACCATTTTTTTTTTCCAAACTGTTTAGATTTTATTTACAAAGCTTTTTGTTGTACAGAAAGTAAAAATGCTGTTACAGTCTAGGTGTAACTGATAGCCACAGATGGCTGACTCGCCAATCATAGCTACCCACGCTACAAAAAGTTTTACACAAAAAATCTAACAACACTCAGAATTCTGTTGAGGTGAGTCACCAGGCTTCCTGGTAGGTAACCAAGAGGGACTCCCTGGAGGAAGGTGGAATGCCATACGAGCTATTTGTTGGCTCGGTTGGTGGGTGTCCTGGGGTTTGTATCACAGCTACCTTTTTTTTTGTTTCTGTCTCTTTTTAAAACAAAGCTACCAGATCCATTGAGCAATGCAAGCAATACTGAACAGTTTCCTGGGGTCTAAGTCATCTTCTCCTTCCTCCTCTGTTTCTTCCTCTTCTCACCTTTCCTGCTTTGTTCTTCCTCTTCATCCTCATCTTCACCAACTTCTCCATCATGTCCCAATTCTTCTCCACTGACTTATCTTCTTCCCCATCTACATCTTCGTCTTCACCTTCATCCTCCTCTTCATCAAATTCTTCCTCCTCACCATCCCCATCCTCTTCGTCTTCCTCATCCTCTCCTTCTTCATCTTCTTCCTCTTCATCCACACCATCCACGTCAGGAGCTTCCTGGTCCTCTCGGTCATAGCCGTCTAGGTAGGTCAGCTGGGCAGGAGCCGGAAGACGCCTTCTTGGTAGTCATTCAGGTTAGTGACCTCACAGTTAAACAGATCCAGGCTTTTTAGACAATCCAACTTTTTCAAGGGCTCCAAGGTGCTACTATCTTTCAACTTATTTCCACTCAAGTTTAGATGTGTGAGGTTTGGAAGTTTTTCTGCTAACATGTCGAGACCTCCAAAGATTCTATTGTCACTGAGCTCAAGTTTTTTCAATTTATGTAGCTTGGGAAGATTTGAAACTGAGATCAAGCTTACGTTTATTAAACTGAGAAACGCTGAATTCACAAATTCTGCTGTTAAGCCCTCAATTTTCCCATCATTTGATTTGCAATTGTCTAGGACAAGTTCCCAAACAGCTGCTAGGGTCTGGTTCCTCAGCTCCACGTGGAGCCTTCTCTTCACGTCCACATTCCTCTCTTCCCTCCTCTTCAAATTTAACTTTCCACTGCGGGCGGAGTGGAGAGAGGCATCCCAGCCTTGTTCAGCGAAGGCCATCAGAAGGGGTCTTGCTGGGCATCGTGCAGGCAAAGGTGAGAGAAGCCCCCGGAGCCAAGTTACTCAAGGGGGCAGAGACAAACCATGGAGGGAAAAAGGGGCCGGAGCGCAGCACTATTCTCACTACTGCTGCCCTCAAACCACCTTCCATGCCAGCACGAGCCATGATTAACAAGTTCATTTTCAGATTTATCTGACACTTGTTGTCCTGTTTCCATGAAGGCAGCTAAGAGTGTCTGGTATATGATTTTAAGGCTTACAAACAAACAAAAACAAAGTTGAATAAATTCATGAACCACAAAAGATGAACACTTTAATTCACAATCCAATCAGAAACTAGGAATGACTACTTACGGAGTCCCACAGAATCAGGCTTGCCGTTATCATTCTTACTTGGCTGCACAAGTGGAGCAAATGAAACAGCAAGGATATTTTTACTTTCCCAAGTATTTTGTCCAGTCCGCATAATCTGTGTTAACTAATTGGAAGGATAAAGAAAAAGGACAGCTTAATTCTGACAACAGAACCACCTTGAAGTCAAATTTGTCTTTTAAGGGAATCATTTTGACTTAGCAAACTATGTAACTAGATAACCACTTACATTTAAAAGCAATCAAATTGGTTCTACTTAAGTATGTCTATAAATTAATACAGAAAAAATATAAAATATTTTTCATCCAAAACAGATATTTCAATGCAAATGGAATACCCAAAAACAACCGATAAGCCTGACTGTTAGGTTAAGTCTGACAGCTTCTAAAGAAACCACTATATTCCACATATGCCACTACCTCCTAAAGTATGTCTGAAGTGATATGCTTAGTAATTTGGATAAAGTACTACACAAATAAAACCATATTTGATTATTTTATCAATGAGTTGATTTTATGCTCTTTCATTTTGAAAATGAAATAGATTCTTATTCTAATTACAATTTGATATTTCACAAGTACAGTCATAGAGGAACTAGATTTTTACCAATTCAGTAAACATTCATTAACTGTTTTAGAAAAAAGCAATATTAACTAAGTAATTTGTTCAAACTGAATTAGCATATAACTTGTGTTATAAAAATCCAGTCCACTGTTGTACTTGGTATTTATATAAAAGTATAGCATAAATTCATAATAAAATTGAAGTGTTACTATAAATATTTGAAAAATATATCACCAAAGAAAAACAGATTGTTTAACTGAAAATTCTAATCTTTAAAGCACTGAAGTAACATTTTTCTAGGAATATTTTTTAGTGATCTTCAAAAAACATATATTTACTTGAAAGGAAGAACTTGAGGGAAAAAAAAAAGAGTGTACAAGAAATAAATCTTCCAGCAGCTGATTCATTTCCCAAATAGTCACCAAGGTCCAGGCTAAGCCAAGCGGAATCCAGGAGTGTGCAATTCCAAGCAGGTCTCTGCCGGGATGGCATGGGCACAACTACTTGAGCTGCAAGTTCTCACTTTTCCAGGAACGTCAGCAGTGAGCTGGCTCAGAAGCAACATAGCCAACACTCAAACTGGCATTCACATGGAATTGTCAGCTTTGCAAGTGCCTATTTAACATGTCAAGCCACAAAACTGGTACCTTTAATGACTATTTTTATACTCTACCTTTTGTAATCACTGACACATACTTTGCAAAAGACCACAGGACAGAATAATCGTAACATCCACTAAGCTGTGAATGACTAACACAATAGATTATTAAGAGACTGACCTTACAAAAAATATAAACTTTTCAGCTACAATGTTAGGTTGTAGTCATTTAAAATATTCCACTTCTACTGTATAAACCACAACTATTTTCAACAGTTCAGATTCAGGACAATGTGAATATTAAAGATTATATTTCTTCAAAATACTACTTTTATAAATAAGAGGGTACTTCAAAACTTCTAAGGAAAAACAGAAATAAAAGCTAAGTGTACTTTGGTGCAAAAAAATTTTCCAAATTCACATGGTCTTTTCATAAAATCCATCTTCTGTAAGCTTTTCTGAAGGGCTGTCATATTCAAGGTAAATTGCTTTTGAAGATTCCACTCATTTTCTGAATAAACCAGTGTTTCAGTCACTGATTATACTTAACTCCCTAGCAAGAAAAATTAAATTTAACGATGTTTATAACTTGCTGGAAAATGAGCTTAACTGAAAATGAAGTTTTAAAAGCTCACTTGTTACCTACTTTCCTTGACCCTTAGCACCTTAGCCAACTATGTCAAAATCATCAAAAACAAAAGAGTTCCCTTGTTTTATAAACAAAGTTAACATTCAAACCAAAGCACAAAAAGGATTTTTCTGATTTGTGCAATATTAAAACTGAGGAGTATTAGCAAGAACAGCTGGTAGAGAACATGACATTGAACGGATCACCTCTTAGGGCAGGACTGCTGCAGAAGGCAGCAGCTTGCCAGGCACGAGCTGGGCATAAGTATCAATTTGCTCCCCCACACTGCAGTATTTTTTTTCTTTTTCTATTTTGCATAAATAACTGTGTTTCAGTGATATGTTCTCTATACAGACAGATATGTGAAAAGCTATCCTAGAAAATTAGCAGTGGTGCAATGTGTTAAGTAGTTGCTTGCAATGCTTCTGGCTCGCTGCTACGTGCTTGTGAAGGTAATGGAGGATGGTCCAAGTGTTTGGGCCCTTGCCACCAAGTGGAAGACGTGGATGAATTCCCAGGTCCCTGATTTCAACCTGGCCCAGGCGTGGCCATTGCAGCGATCTTGGGAGTGAACCAGTAGATGCAAGATCACTCTTTGTCTGTCTGTCTGTCTCTCTTTCTGTCTCTGCCACTCTATCTGTAATGCTACCTTTCAAGTAAAACAAAACACAACCCTCCCCCAAAAAAGAAAAGTACATGTCACCAAATAACATATCTGAATTTTAAACTAGCGTGTTTGCTCCCTGCTCAACGAAGTCCAACAATGCATGTTACCTGATCTTCTATAGGCATGACTAATATGCCTCCCACTTTCAGTAAGATTTTCATGTAGTTCTCATGGTCTTTCTGGACTCCGGCACCACAATAAATTCGATCATACTGATGACTGTCAGATGCTATCTGGAGGCAATTACCGACCACAAATGCTGGTTCACAGAACTCAAATCTGCACAGAAAAAATGTATACAACTCAGTGCACTCAAACAAAATATCAAATCTTTAAAAAAAATACCATTAACTCAGTCCTTTGAAATACTGAATTATCAACATTAATTCAGAGGACTGAAATACGATTATGAAATATTATTCAACCATTAAGTTCAGCACTGACCAATCCCATTATTCCATTATCAATAGTACTAGACACATGTTTTCAAAACAATCTTTTTTCATACTAAAAGCTCACTTAAGGCCTAAAAATGCATACAATGAAAAGCCCACCACACCACTAATCTTGTGATGTCTCCAAATTGTACATTTATACATGAAAAGGGAAGTATCATAACAGCTCCTGCTTCCAGTGACTTCTGAAATCGATAGGGAAGTGGTGGAAATGAGAAAGATTTGTGCAGCACCCATCTTAGTTGACATTTCTGCTGAGGAGGAAAATGGTGAGCTTTGTCAAGCGTGTGACGCAGTGCCCTGATCACACACCTTGGATCTATATACACTAAGTTAGGGGAAATCTTTTTAAATAAAATTTGACTAATAAATTATAGAACTGGGACGGAGAACAGAATGACTGTTATATTTACTGACTGGCCTCTATGATCTCCCTAGCACAAAGAGAAAGGAAGTGGTTTCAAAGCAAAAGCGCATTATTCAGGCCATTGTCCCTACTACAATGCTGGTTAATGGTCCAGAGTGTTACACTTTTACAAACTATCCTTTTTATTCTTTTAATTTATTTCTTGCATTTTAATTAAAATGGAAAACAGATCATAAGACACACACACAAAAATCTCAGTACATTAATAAGTTTTTAAAATTCCTACCAGTTTACTTCTAAGTCTGTTGTAGTCAATGTGACCAAGCGGCAAAATCTTGTGAATGAAGAAAATTCACATTTGGCATAAAATGAAAAATGACACTGACTTAAATCACAATAATTTTTCCTTTGTTTAAAACATGGTCTTTCCTCTGGCAATTAACAGCAGGCTTTCTACATACATCGTAAGTTTCCACTGAAATTCACTACACAGAGATACATTATCAACACACACTAAAAGAAGACATGTTTGATGGAAAAGAGCAAGGAGTTGGTGCAGAAAAGGGCAGGGGGATTATGGGCCTTCTGCTCATCTCTGCATCCCTACTCTGGAGAACTCTGTGACCCATTATTTCACTGTGCAAATTTTTCAGGGCTCTCCTCCGTGTTTATGCTCTTTACTGTGTTTAACCTCAAACACACCACATAGGACTCTCTACTATTAGATAAGCTTAAATCCCAGGCACACCACACAGGGTTCTATATGTCAACTACGGTTTAAATATGGCCTGGCTCTCACAGCTCCAAGCCTGCTCTCCCATGTAATGGAGCTCAGAAATGGTGGCCTCTTCAAGAGGTAGGGACTAGTGGGAATAATTACAAAGAGATTAAGACCTATCTCAGAAGGTCAGCTTTCAAGAGCCCAGGTTAATAAGTGACTAATATTTATCTAGGTCTCCAGGGACCAAGTTGTTAGAACATAAAGCCACGCCATATATTTGTCCTATTTGCATGCACTGCTCCCTGCTCTACAAGCTCCTGCTACTTTACACTGCGAGGCCCTCACCAGGCACAGCCACCTGAGCTTGCAATTTCCAGCCTTGGAAAACACAGGCCAAAATAAGTTTCCTTTTTCATAAAGTCCCAGTCTCCGGTATTCTGGAGGAATAAACATCTATTTTGCTGCCAAGGGTGAGTTGTACATTTATAATATCATTTGTGGACCATACAGAATTAGCCACTTATAAACCAGTCTGCTACAGATTTATTGAATTTTTAGTCTTGCCTGTAGTTGCTCTGGCAGGGCCACAGTAATCATTTCTCATATACCTTATATGGTTCCCACCCATTATAGCTGTCCCGCCATAAAAAGAAAGAAAACAATGCTAACCACCAGAGCTGCAGCCCAGTAAGTCACCGTTGATGCTTGCAACCCATACAGGCACAAGTCTGTGTTCCGGTTGCTTCACTTCTGATCTAACTTCCTGTTAAGTGTCAGGCAAAGGCAGAAGAGGATGGCCCAACTGATTGGTTCGTTGCTACCCAAGTGGAAGACCTAACTGAAGCTCCCAGCTACCAGCTTCCACTGAGCCCACACCTGGCTGTTTCACAATGAAATCTTCCTTTTATCTGTCACACATACACAAAAGTCTAAACCTGTTTTGGTGATGGACTCATATTTAATTTTACTGTTATACAGGCCATAACAGAATTTAGTGATTAAAACTGTACCAAAATACAATTTCTTGCCTTTTGAGCAATTAATTTGGATCACAAATTAGTATACCAAATTTATCAGTTCACAATAAGCATTCTTTTTTTTTAAGTTTTAAAAAACATCTATGTAAAATCTTCATTTTTATAAAAGTTCATCTTAAAAATTATAATTTTATAATAAATTACATTATCTTTTAATTTTCAGGATGAATGTGGGCAGCAAATTTAAGTAACCAAAAATGTTTTCCACTGGTAAAAATGTTAAATTTACTTGAAATACACTTATTTTCTTAAAATCTCCCTACATTTCAGAGAACTATTACCAAGTAAACACCACCACAGGTAAACTTGCAACTACAACTCCTTCTCAAATTCATGGCATCTGACACATTTTCATCACAGCAAAATGAACTAGAAAGAATACAGTGCCTATTGATAAAATCAAATATGTCACTACATGCAAGTTACCTTGTCTCACACAACTCCTTCAGTTCAGCTGTTTATTGTGTACCAGCTGTGTGTAATAATCAAGAATGCAGTGGGCAACACACCTCCATGTGGTAGAATATAGAGTGGCAAGCAATTCCAATCAATGAAATGTAACTTATAATCTGGTAACTGCTCTAAAGGAACATGACTCCCCGAGACTGAGGGCTGAAGGAAAATGATAGGTGCCTAAGGATCAGAGAAATGAGTTGTGAGCTAAAGAAAACAAGACGGGACTGGTATTGTGGCATAGTGGGTAAAGCTGCTGCATGCAATACTGGCATCCCGCATGAACAGTGGTTCATGTCTCAACTGCTCTTTCCTAACCAAGCTCCTTGGTAATGGTCTGGGAAACGTGACAAAACATCCTCGTCACTGTTATGGGTGACCTGATCAAGTTCCTGGATTCAGCCTCGACCAGCCCTTGTGTTGTGGTCACCTGGGTAGTGAATCGGCAAATTTATTCATTCATCATTCACTCACTTCATTCATTCTCTCTCTCTCTGAATTTCAAAAATTAAAACTTAAAAAAGAAAGCCATGACAATATACTACCTTTTTTTTTAAGAGAACAACCACTCACTAGCCACATGAAAATACTGACCCCTTAAAATGTGGCAAATCCAGATTGACCTGTGCTACAGAACTCACAAAGAGTTTCAATACTTAGCACAAAAAATGAAACTACCTCAGTAATTCATATTTTGTTTCAGCAGTCACACTAAAACAATAAAAAGCAACTTCTCTTCTATTTACTTCACGGAAATAAACTGGATTTACCAATACTTCCTCAAAGCCTTCCTTCTCTTTGAAATACTGTCCTTCTTAAGGGTAGAAGACAAACTTCCCAAAAAATGAAACAGAAGAAGAAATATTATACCATCAGTATTTTCTAAGATATGAGGCTCACATATACTAAACTGTTTATCAACTGTAACTTCATATAGAATACATTATTTTATTCTCAACATGACAAATAAAGGTAAACTGAAATAATAAAAAGCAGAGCATACCCTTGCCTTTAATGAATAAATCAAATGTCTTAAAATTAATGATCTCAAATAAGCCTCCCTATATTGTTCCAGTAAACTCGGACCTTTTCCCTTCTGATAAACATGAGTATCTTCTTGTATCTATTGCCACATAGAAAAAAAAATCAGATTTTTCAAGTTTCCCCTAATGTAAATGAAATACATACTAAAAAATATATAAGGTCTTCAGTATTTAACATACTTAAGTTACTTAATCAAAATACTAAAAATCTGAAAATTTACATGAATTTAAGACTATCAAAAAGAGCTGGACGATTTTAAAATATGAGAATGGTGGTTACTGAGACACTCAGGGCAGGTATGGTATTTTAAAACATTGCCACTCACTAACACAAGAACACAGTAGAGAACTCAGGCATGCCAAGCACACTACAAGGAAATGTTAAGAGTATTTTTTTAGTAGTAGTAAGAATATGTCTACCAGAGACAGCATATTATCTGGGGATAATTCATTACACCTTTAACTCCGGATTCATCTTGTCTACTCATAATACATTAGCTCTTCTTCATGATCAGCTCTTATACTGCACAGCCTTCATTTTTAAATATATAAATCATCATGAATTACTTATAAATCAACTAGGTACACAACTGAGAATGCTAAACATTCTGCATCCTGCTACTGTGAAAGCATTCCATGAAAATAAATTCATACCAAACAGGTTACATAATATCCAACACTCCACTACTAATATTTTTCCAGTCTATGATTAGAACTTTTCCAGTAAATGTTTACAAATAAGCTTTTACGTGTAAGTAACTATTTAAGAAATATGCAGTGCTACCATATCATCAAGCTGAGTAAATCATGGATGAATTAAAGAATGCCTAGATTCTTTCAGGGTAGGGGGAAAAAAATAAACTTTCTTATTCCTTTGACTTTGAAATTTTGAAATCCATACACAAGATAGGACTTTGCAAAGCTCAGGAAAAATGAGCATTACTGAAAAACTCTGCTTGATGACTGGCACTGTGGAAGAGTTGGTTAAGCCACTGATCATAACACTGGGATCCCCAAGAGAAAGCCTGCTCAAGTTCCGGCTGCTCTGCCTCCAGTTCAACTTCCTGTTAATGCACCTAGGGAGGTAGCCACTGAGGGACCAAGCACATGGGCTCACAGGACCCAGTTGACAGACCAGGAAAGAGATGTCTGACTGATGGCTTCTGTCCTATCCAGACCTGGCTGTCATGACCATCAGGGGAA